TTATACATGTAAATGTGAGAATGACAGTATGTAAAGAATGTAATGACGTAAATAATGTAATGACATGCATAGTGTTAGGTAAACAACTATCTTCAACAGTTATTTCCGACGTTAAACAAAAGAATTTTGAGAAAAATCGATCATCAAAGTCAAGGCAAATAATGGTGTTAAAGAGAGGTTGGGTTCGTTCGAGATGGCAATCACGACAGCAACGTTACAAATTTGTCAAAGTATCACGTTCTACGCGAATTTTTGGCAACCCTTGCAACAGCATCTCGTTCTACCGTCACTTTTTACTGCCCGACGTCAATTACCCCTGCGGGTAGGGGGAAGAATATTCCCGTTGTAAGCCATGGTTGGCGTAAGAGCCTCAGTATATACAGTAATAAACCTTTGCATTGTTTACATACATATACTCAACTCTAGAAAAAGTTGTGTAACATATTTTTTGCTACTTTCATGGTAATCAGAGTGTTGTGTTAGCATTTAAGCTACATATAAATTAAAAATTTTGATGAGCAACACTTTAAAAGATATTTAATAATGCAAGTGTTTACGTTATTTAAGTGATTATATTGAATTACTTTCTATATCTGTTAAATTTTATTGGGAAATTTCTTGTTGTTTAATGTTAAATCAGTTGTTTTTTTTTTTTTTTTTTGTTTGTGCAGTTTTTAAACACGCTTCAAGTATTTCTACATTTTTGCATGCAATACAATCCTGGGTGGTAATTTGTAATTTAACATATACAAATTGACAAATCGTGAGCCGTTATATGAAAACATCAATTGGAAATTGAGTTTGAATAGAACACATATATTATAATTGATATTAGTGTTGTTGCTGAAATAAAGCAAGATTGATTAGGTAAGATGTAGAAATATATTTGAAATATGTCGAAGATTTTAATAAGTTTGTGTTTACAGAAAAATGCCGAAATATTGTGCGTGTGGATGTGCGCGAGCTGAATCCTTTTACAAATTCCCATCGGAACGAGCATTAGCATCTATATTGGTATCTTAGAAATCTTTATTAATTACTAAATTGTTTTGTGCGACGTTTTTGTTTATATAATTTCTATTTAAATTTTTATGTAAATTTTTATTTATACTTATTTTATTATACACCTAAAAAGTCGGTAACGCGCCTTATTGCAAACCTTAGGGCGGTTTGGAAAATGCAAAACTTAAACATTCAGAAATAAATTATCAAAAATATTTTTAGTGTTAATAAAATTCGTTTCATTGCGTCGCAAAAAAGAGTACGTGAGAAATACATATGCCAATAAATTAAATAATCTAAAAATAATTATATTTATACATTTTTGTGCAATTTCTCACGTACGACGGGGAGCAGTTAGCCCTTGGAGTTTACTCCAATCTGCTTATTGAATTTGGCGCTTTGTAGAGATTCGTGGTGGCTGTGGTTTGAACCTAAATGTAGGCAGGTTGAAAATTTTTAGTCCAATGTGGAGTCGTATTGCAGTCGGGTGCCGGTCCCAAAGTACGGCAGAGGTTTTAGGTCGGCCTCGTACCCGACCAAGGTAACTAAGGTGTCCCTATCCACCTGAACCAAAGTATGCGTGCTAAATGCATTTCTACTATGGGGTGTTGATCAACGCACTGTATTCATCTATGTGCTTCTAGAAAGCACCGTGAGGTTAGGCCGTCGCAGGCAGTACTCACGTAAAGCACTCCGGACGTTGCCCGACGTCAATAAAGAGCAATCATCGGCGTTCGTAGTTTTTACCACCATCCACTTATATAGTTTATAGTAAAAATCTTCAACCATGGAGAGCGTCGATTTGTTCAATGTCCTCAAGTAGCGCTGTGTGGCTGCCTGTGATGAGCTTTTGACATCATTTATGCAGTTTGCAGAAACCATTCTGGTTGTCAGATGGTGAATGAATGTCGTGGTCTCAAATTGTTTCACTACTGGGGAAAGGAGATCTATCGGGCAATATACTTAGTTTTTTGGCGAGATTCCTAGGTCTCAGTAGTGAGACCGCTCTTTGACTTTCTACACATTGGTATCTGAAGAGTACCAGCGACAGGTTGAGGACCTTGGTTAGGAAGCTTACTCCCTTCGAGCCTATTGAAAGTGTTTTAGAATCAGCATGTTTATTCCATCTGGGTCAACAGATTTGGAATCTCCTACGATACCATTAGTTGATAAAGAGGTTCTAAAAATAATTGAACAACGTATTTTTGCCCAGTGGTTTAAAATTCAAATGACTGAGGATGATAGGCCTACAGGTCAAATCATGACTCATTCATTTTTAATGTTAGTTATGACATTTGGATCTTGGGTAAGACTTTTTATCGTATTTATTGCAAAATAATTGGAACAATGTAATTTCTTAGGTGATGCTGCACAAATTTTTCAATGATGCCTTTTCTCTTGGCGGTAGCTTTTTCATCAAAAGCACACTAGAATACTGTACTCTCAAAGGCACGGAATATTGAGGAGCGCACAATTGTTATACTCAAAGAAGTATATTTCAATGTCTTTTTTTTGGTTTACATTACACACCTGAAAAGGCTTCGCAAATTATGAATACTTGTTACGCATTGCACAATATTTGGCTCGAAATAATTCGCAAAAATATTATGGCTTCCCTCAAAATAATTAAAATATAACATATAAAATAATGAAGAATATCACTTCGTGTGTTAAATAATAAATTAAAAAAATTTAAAACCATTGTTAAGATTTTAAGTTGGCAATTTTGGGGAGCTGTTCCTCATTTTTAAGCGCATGAAGTTCATGTCTTTCTTTCATAGATCTTCACTTTCCTTTTTTCATTTCCAAAAGTTTCTTTTCGGAGAGTATATGATTTATGCAAAGTTTTCTCCTACTGTCCAATTTTCTTTTAATTTGCTGGGTTGAATGGAGTTGCAGGCTTTCCTACTCCATGCAATCATTCTAGGAGACACTGCCTCCTCAACTGAATTCTTCTGGTTGGGCAATGGAATCAATGCCATGTGTTCAAGAATAAACGGATACCTCTCCGACCTTTCTCAATTTTTCTAATTTAACAATATCCCCCACTAAATTCACAGCGAACATATTTACAAAGTGAATGAAGGAGTACAGACCTTAATACTGCAGTCGATCGCGTCAAGATTCCAACTGTATATAACCCTACGCTTTTAGATGTAACATTCGACGGTCTATACTCTTTCACTCCTTATACAACCGCGATTATTGCTAAAGTACAGAGCCGTAAAAAAATTCTCAAGTTGCTAGCCGGCAGCAGATGGGGAAAGGACAAAAAAACAACGTTGTTGTCAACTTACAAGGCAATCGACAGGCCAGTCCTCAATTACGCCGCACCACTGCAGTCACCTGCTTGGAGTGGAACCGCCTCCTAGGAACATCAAGAGGTCATTCCTTTAGTATGTTGAAGACATTGACAGTACTCTAACCCGACTTCAGAAGTAATAAATCTCCGACAAGCATTGAACGCCATTCTCAGTGGAGCTATCAACACCTCTTTGCATGTCCCAAGATCCCCACTCATCTAACACACCTCTCCCTTTGGTCCGACCACTTCAAAACAGCACGGATTTTGGTCCTTCCATTAGACGACGTCAACGACAACTTGGCTAACACTTACCATTCTAACGGGGACAAAGTACTCGTTAGAACAACATCGTCAGACATAGGGCGTGGARAGAATAAGAAAAAAAAGTCAATGTCTTACAGATTTTGAGTTAAAATAATATTTTTCTCTTATAAAATGTGTATAATTATATCAAATAATTATAAATTAATTTGTGTTAAAGAATTATTGTTGGAAAATTAAAACTAATTACTGTTTTAAATGTCTGCAGGGAGACATAAGAAATTCTTTGAGAAAATCTATACCACTGGGTAAAAATTGTAACTCATCAGAAAACACATAAAGCGGGGGAGATATAATATCTTTAACTGACAAAGTTCGAATATTATTTATTTCTATCTGGAACTCAGTTTGTTTAAGTAACGGATTATTATCTCTGATTCCTTCAAACGCCCGTGTAAACTTTCGCACAATCACTCGATTTGAGTATCTGAAAAAAACTAGTTATTATATTTAACAATATATAATGTTTCTAAATACCTAATCAAAGAAGCTTCCTCTCTGCAAACTAGTATCCACAGGCTGCGAGCATCTCTAAGTATGTTAGTGCAAACTTCATCCATGTGTTGTAATAGCTTAAGTATAGGATCTTCATTATTATAAGCATGTGAAAGCAATTTTAAATCAACTGGCAAATTAATCTTGAGATTGAAATCTAAGATGTGATCAATTGGCTTCCAAAATTCTGCAACAAAATATTATACAAATAATAATCCACATACATATACATAAATAATRCATTAAAATAATCATAATACAAATAACTTTTTCCCAATATAACAAACCCAGACCAGTGTGTCGTCACGCAAGAATTTTTGTGTTCGAACGCATAGCGATGAAAATTAAAATAGAACAAAAAGGCCGAATTCGTTTTCTTTGGTTCACGTTATAAAAGCGATTGTAATTTATTTAAGCAATTGTTACTTCTAATGTATGACAGGATTGCAGTGTGCCAAAATTTACAAATAGTAAGTGACGCCCCTTACATATCAGATGACGCTCTGAACATAGAACCATTGGCGAGAAATGGAATTTCGTTACTTTAATTGAGGCCTCCGTAATGAAGAGACCGAGGTGGAATAAGTTTCCAATCAATCCCTTCTACGAGACACTGCCGATAAACTGCTCCAACATGATGATGTTTAAGAAATTGTTACAGTAATTCTGACATTTCATTTTTTGTTCCACCAAAGTTTGTTGCGTTATCAGACCTAATGGTTTTTGGTTTTCCACGAGTACAATAAAGACGACGCAATGTTGCTACAACGGATTCACTTGATAGATCCCTTACAACTTCCATATGAACCGCCGTCGAAGTAAAACATATGAAGAGACTTATGTAAAATTTTGTTGATGATCTGCTTGTCTTGTTTCAGATTGGTAGTAGAACGGTTCGCAATGGTCAACTCCGATGATTAGAAAGAGCTGACTTTGACGGACGCGGTTTCCTGGTAAATTTCACATAATCTGTTTCCATATCTTGGTCCTTAGTCTAAAACAACGCCCGCACTTGTTCACTATGTGACTCACCACATTTTTGTCTCCCAGGGGCCAATATGGTTGTCGTATTGCATGTAGATTCTGATGTCGAAAATGTGTTATAACAAACTCTGTTAAGGAATGTCGCTTGAGTAGAATGATTGAATATCGTGAATGGAAATCCAATAATGATTTTTCTAGACGTCACCTACTCAGATAATTCCAAATGAGTCAACAATGATGACAAGAACGCTCGAAGAATATTTGTTTTGATGAAACTGTGTACGTAACCATATATGCGCTGCATTACTGTGAAAGAGTTTATATGTATATTTACAATGAAGCGAAATGTGAGTCGGCGAGAGTAATGCCTTTTTCCACTGTTTAGTTAAATTTCCAATGCGAATACTTACATTTGGACCAATTTTTTTTTCGAATCAAGTAGAAATGAGGATCTAAACTTTCAAAGTGAAGAGTTTAATAACTCTATGGACGATGAACCTTTCGACAAGATGTCTGTCAGATGTGTTGGTACATACCGCCACTCCATGCTATTTGTGAAATATTGTATACTTGTAATGCGACTGGCGTCAAAAATATTAAAACGTGACGGCTGCTCCTTGATACATGACAAAACCGTTGTAAAATCCGACCAGCAAAAGAACCGACAGTTAAATATTCGTAAATTGTATAAAGGCTGAACTACCTGAGCCAGAAGCTTAGCTGCAAATAACTTTAGTACTTTAGTTTATGAACTGTGACTGCATGGCCAACTGTGTGGAATATGCATGTCCATCTATACGAGACACAACGTAGGTGCAAGGTGCCGTAAGCTAAGAGGCTGCCATCGCAAAATCCATGAAACTAAAAGCTAGAATTTGATTAGTCAACATATCGTGGAAAAGTTCTATAATCTAAATTCATCGTAAAGTTGAAGCCACGCTAAGCTGTTTGATAAGTCATTTACCAATGACTTTCGTCTCAATCTATCTTCTCCACCCAGTCTTTGAAGGAATGTTTTGCCTTGCACACTACGGGTCTAATTAATCCCAATGGATCATAAAGTTGAGCTATAACGAAAA